GAATTATACTGCCTATTTTGTAGATTAGTATCATGTGATAAGAATAGAATTATGTTCTCATTTCGTATTACTGGGAATACAATGGAATCGTGATTTTACTTGAAATTGAGGACGAGTATCATTGTATATGCATACATAAATGTTTCCCTTATAGTATATTGTTTGCACACTCGTGTGCGTGATCGAATTAGGTAAACCATGCTGTGAAATAAGGTATCATACTTTTTATCGTAGAGTAGCTCGTAGGGAATCGTCGGAGTTTCTCAGTCCACTCGAGCTACTCGAGATATCTCCGGAAGAGTTTGGTTACATTACGTTGGCCAGTCGGCACTTGAAACTTTTCGAGTAAAAAATAATTCCGGCCTAGCAATATTCGAGTCTTACCCAGAAGAATTTCCTCCCTCGACGAGTAGCGAACCGTTCTCGTTGACGGTCCGCCGCGAGTTACGTTCGGACTTCGGTGGAAACTTTTTTCCCGCGGCTGGGCGAGGACAGCCTCGCTGAAACGAACGAGCAAGATAGGGGCAAACGAAGGGGAACGAGAACAAGAAGTGAAAACTTCTTGGAATAATTAATAAGTGTACTCAAAACTGTCGTGACACTTGGAACATCTTTGTTAAAGGTTAAGCTCGGATTCTTCAATCAATTCTACGAGCGAGGTGAATTTATGTTCGAACCCTTTACACGCCGTGTATCGATTATTCGTCTGAAGTCATTCAAATGATTCAAAGAACTCTTTCACGTAGAAAAATGCAAAAGAGGCATTCGACAAACTTTAAATATTAATGCAGAAGGAAAATATTTAAATTTATTCATTACGATAATCTTGTAACATATTTACGTTATTATATTGCACTGTTTATATTTAATGCAGTTTTGCGAATGTACATAAAGTATCCATAAATTATACATTTTTTTCCTTATAAACATTATCATTTGTCGACGTCAATTCGAACGAAAGACGCCTCGTAGCTCGCGGAACAAGGAACGAGCATCGCGTCATGCGGTTAGCTGCTGAACAAGAGTGTCATCTGCACGGATGCAACACTTCCACGAACGTGTATGCATATACATAAGATGGAAACTTCGCCGGGATCATTAGTCTGTCCAAGGCCAGCAAATAAGCGTAATCTATATAATAATAGACGTTAACTTGCTCGAACCAATACTCGGAGTCGATAGCACCGTGGCCATCTGCCGCCTACTTTATCGCGAGCTTATACCCCTCTACATACTTGACGCAACTTCGGGGCACGTATTTCGTCGGTCGGAGAAACAGGTGTTCCTCTATTACGTTAAAGTTGCTCACATAATCGAGGCTGCTCATTGCTGTTAAGAGAATGATACGGTAATTATGTTCCCACGTAATGTAGCTCATCATTTATTACGGTTTATAAAGGATTCATACTAATTACAATTGAAATTACTGTATCGCCATTGATAATATTTAAGAGAGATGTTTCTTAATTAACATTTGTTACCATTTTTCCTATCGTCAAATTTTTTACTGCAAGCATAAAGAAGCTTTTATTTGATAAACATTTTAATTAACTATTGCGGCAGTGGATCAAACAGAATATTTAAGCGGTATTAGATAAAGCGATAGTGAACGATCGACAAGTGACACTGACGAGAACTAAATTCAAGACAGACCTAAATACAGATCGCAAAGTCTGGGGAATGCTTGGTGGAATGGTGCGATGATCGATTCACCGTGCGCGACATGCGATAAAACGGGGAGAAAAGTTTTGCAACGGGGAAACGCGAAAAGGAGCGGCCGCGGAGGAGCCGATATGATATCGAGTGGGGCAACGATTCAAACGCTTGGAACTTCGCCAATCTGTATACTCTGTATACGCGGATACACTGGATGAAAAGACGGACCACGTGAAAGAAACAGGGTGCCGCAAGAAGCACCCTATAATGGACGTACAAAAAATGTATATCTATCATAGTTTTTGCGAGTGAATCCGTGTGCAGTGGTGATTTGGTGGAAACTTGTAAAGGAATATAATACGATGTACATCTTCTCTTATTGTACAGAAAAAATACAAAGCAACAACAAGGAAATGATTATCATACACATTCAACATTGCAAACGTAATCAGCAAAGAAGACAGAAATTTTATATTATTATTTATTATTACGTATTGGCATTAATTATGATTTATATTAAAAATATAATTTTATAATCAACAAAGAAGACAATCAGCAAAGAAGACAGAAATTTTATATTATTATTTATTATTACGTATTGGCATTAATTATGATTTATATTAAAAATATAATTTTATAAAATTAGAAATGCTAAAACAAGTGACAGAGGAGTGCTCGAATCGAACAAAACCTTGAATAAGAAAAAAGCATCCCTCACGAAAATGCCACGAGCCACCCTTTACACGAAGCAATATTTTTTCTGCCGTGTAATTAGCCAGAAGCGCGGGCGGTCTCTCAGCCGGAGCATGCACCCTTATTAACCATTTTCGTTGTTATCGTTATTGTAGCCAGCTACAATTTCGGCAGAATTACACGGGGAGCCTACTTTATTTTAATTATTCTTTTATGCCGGCCGCTACGCGGTACTATTCGCGGTCGCGGCCGTGGAAAAAAGCTAAAGGGACGGGAACGACAAGGGTGGGTGAGGGATGCGGTGTGGTGCGCCAGGGGGTACAGAGAGCACCGGAGGAGGGCGTTGGCGAATGACGAGGAGGCGCGGCAGAGGGTAAAGGGGTTAGAGAGAAAGGAGGAAAAACTGGCCGGCGGCGCAGCGACGCCTTTTATTTTCGTTGTTCCACGAGTAGAGCACCGCGCCACGTCACGCCGCCGCTGCCGCCGCGTGTACGTTTCCAGCAGAATTCCGAGATCCACCGCCGCTGCGGTCGGCATTTATTGCGGCCACCCCCAAGGGTGCATTTATATTCATAAGCATAATGGGGGATCGTGACGTATACGGTCGCGGCACGCTCGACTCTGTCCCTTCGCTCTTTCATCATTATTAATTCCACGGGGCCCCGTTGCCTCCCTCGAATTCGCCGACTTTCACCTCCTCTATTGCCCTTCCACGACTTTTTCCCACCAACTCTATACCGACGGCATCAAGATTCCCGTTGCGGTCTCCCTCCCGCTGTTTTTGCGCCTCTTTATTTACGGCTTCACGGCGAATGACTCTCCTGTCTGCGAGGTCTTCTTCTTGAACTGCCTTCACCTCGTCGCGCCACTTTACTGCCAATTCATGGGCCCGTTTCTTCGACTCCCAGGTTTACCGTTTATTAGCGTCCGTGGCTTCTGAGCTTTGGTTGCACCCAATTCGAATTTTAATACACTCTTCTCAAGTTCGTTTAATGTAAAAGTTCGGGTAAGAAATTATCAAGAATTCACTGAGGCGATTTTGCAATTAATAGTCAGGGGAAAAAACAGAGAATAGTACAGGTACAAGTTGTTAAAATCTGAGAATTAAAATTCAACTACCGTTTTATAAACGTAGCAGTTGGTTCGGGTCTAAATGGAACGTCAATACTTGTAAGAGAAACGATGGTTTCGTTTTGGCTAACCAGAGTTCTTCGTTCACATTTATTAGCTCCTCAAGTCGATTTAATACTGTCGTGTAGTATAGAGGATAGCCATTCGCTAAGGGAGCCCTCCTCCAATCGATACGCGATGCCGCGTGTTGCATGCACGCCGCGGCGTGGTTGCATCAAGTACGCGAGAGGGTTGCACGATCGGGAAGGCTCGGCAAATGGCCGACCTATTATCGACTTTACATATGCGCGGACCCGTTGCTGAAAAACACAGACCTCCTAGGAGTCGAAGCCGGATTCCGTGCACGTTTTACAACTGGAGCGCGTGAAGGGAGGGGAGAGCGGGAGAGTACACTTGTTCCAAGCACACGAGAGCTCGCAAGGGCTCTGCGATGGGAGTGAAGTTGAATTTCCAAATTAAGGGTATAGAAGGGTTAGTAATTGATGGTATCAAAGGACGTGAAAAGCGTCGTACGGTTCGAGATTATAAAGTGCAGCAATAAGTGGGAATTCTAGTAACGAATCAGCGCACATGTCGCTCAGAAGCGCGCACGCAGTAAATTCATTTTACGATCATAATAAACACGTCATTTTCAAGGGATTAAATAAAAGGCATGAAAGAAAAACGAAGAGTCGAATAATTGCAGCTGCATTCTATGAATTCTATTCCTAGCAGTACAATTCTTCTGTTCTAATCAATAACAAATCCTATTGGCGGTCCACGCGTGTTCTCGCGAGCGTTGATTATGTAGTGCGCGCGCGACGGGGTAACAAAATCGGAGCCGATAGCCACGTGCCAGACGAGATACCCGTCACTTTGTTCGTGCAGCGATAATGAAAAACAGAGTTATTGGACTTCTGGCTATGCTTTGACACTTTTGAATGGGTATTACACACGGGCAGAGGCGGCGAGAGCCGTGGAGCGGCGACTGCGAATGAAATTACGCGTGAAATGCCGATGCGAATTTTGTCGCGTGATTCTCGCTGCGAAATTCGCTTCATTTATTCGACGGCAATGCATGCCTGCGCCTGTCAGTGAATATTTTTTTTACAATAATTGGCGAAACGTCGTGTTCCTCTAACTTACTTGCCAATCATGTCAACCTGTCCGCGACAACGATCCGATAATATGAACTGTAATTAAGTTTATTATACTCTCCGTGGAAACCGTGCGTTGTTAGAAATCTAGTTATTTGTCAGTTACCGATAATTACGATAACTAATTAACTGAAGAACACGTTATATTAATAACATGCATTAATGTAACCTTTATGAAGTTAAACGTTCAAGCGAAAACCATTTATATATTTATGTTATAACAAAATTGTTTCACACGTAATTAATTTGATCATTGAAATGATACTATTTTCGTTTTACAATGAATTAATTTTATATGAATTAATTAAGAACAATGTAAATGGCATATCGATTTAATGTGAACCTGCAGAAATGTTTAATGAATCCCTTATTCGTTTGTTACAGTCTGCAGTCAATTCAGCCGAGGGGTGTACTCTATGTTGGGCGCGGTGAGCCCGGACTCGTTCGACACCCTTCATTCTTACAGCAACACGTTCCAGATGCCTTTTGTGACGCCCTGGTTTCCCGAGAAGGTAAATAACACGCTTACGCTGGCCGGGCTATATTAAAACTTATAACATTATCCCCGAGGAGGGAAAATCTGCGACGTCTATTTTTATCCCCCCCCTTATCCCCCATTATACATCTCGTTTTCTTCGCTTAACCGTCCTTCGATGCTTATTTTTATCGTCTTTCCAAAGCTCCGATTAAAAAAAATTAATACGAGCTTACGCGTCCTGCAGTATTTTTCGCCGAACAGTTTTCTTTGTGCGACGTAATTTGATCGAGACTTCCATTGAGAATGATAGTTCTCTCGTGAGGGATTTGCAATGACTCACGAAAATGATTACGTATCGGATTATGGCTGAATTCGAAATTAATTGATTATTGATTCGTGGAATTATTATTTATTTTTATACTCTTTTCAATTACGTAATATGTGTATAAAAAGCAAAGTGACTAAAGAGTTATAATCAATTCGAATGAGTAACTACGTCATACGTACGTACGCACGTCTCACTATCCTCAATTATAATCATACCAGTTTTATCCTTATAGCGGATCCAGCCACACGACAAACCAGTTTCGCTTCTCCTTCTTATTTATTCCTCGATATTTTCCTCATCACACGTACGCACATTCCCTCACGTGCAATGGAGAAATGCAAACGAGGATCGATGGAAGATTTCCAGCGGACAATGCATGTCGACAATTAGCAATACGCCGACAGGTTTTAACCAACACTCAACGGGCAGCCTATTGGCAACTGCGCGCTGGGTGCCCATATCGGCCACGGTCTACCCGTAGATGCATAAATATGTATGGGGCGTATACAAACATATTACAATTTGAATGTCGAAATGAATCGGGACCGGTCGAGAATTTATTCGCCCCGTCGAATTGCAAACGGCGCGGTGGGTGCATTTATCGGTGTAGCGCCACTTGCAAAACTGATATCGTACGTCCATATTGGATGAATGGCGGGTCTCGTATATCCCGTCCGCTGCGCCGGATATACGTAAGTGTGCGTTTTTATCCGGTTCGTGTTTCGTTCGTGTACGCGCGCGGTAAGTACGCACGAGCACGTTGCCACGGGCACGCGTAACGAACGTTCATGTCGTTTAAATGCTAATCGCGTGGTAATGCTAATTCGAAGCCTCCACCCACACCCATTTTTTCCTTTCCGTCTGCCTCTCTTCCCTACGGTCGCTATAGGGCTGGTCAATTACGGTTCACAGGGATCGACCATTTATAAGAGGATATCTTTTTCAATTTCCACTGAATCTCTTCCGGTTACGACGCTATTTTGCCTTGGTTCCTCATGAAGAGCGACCTTCTTCCTTTTCCTGATTCTCTTCCTCTCCTATACATTTCTAGTAAAGCGTAGACAATTATTGAGCTGTAGAAACTGTAGCAAGTAAATATTACGCGTCTGGTCGTACCATTTATCTTTCCTGTGTCTCTTTTTCTCTGTCCTTCTTGTCGAAAAGTGATTAATTCAGCAGCACACGCGTTCATTTATTCCTGCATGCATTCATTCTTTTTCCCTTCATCTGGCTGCTCCCTCTAATTCCGTCCCTTTCGATTCAAATTTCGCGGGAAGATTTATGAAAATGGCTCGCCGCCGATCCATGAATACGAAACAAACGTTGGTAGCCTCGGCTGAAAAGGCAATTCGCTTAAATCAACCCGTTACTTTCCCACCAGGAGACAAGAACTCGCGAAACAGCGCAATATCGCGTCGCTTTCAACCGTCCAACCTTCCGCAGCAGCGTTATAAATATTTACGATTATACTTACCTCAGTCGCATTTCCGGCCGCTCCTCTACTGCGGTGCGACACCATTTAAACATTTCCTCGAGCGAGCCTCTGCCTGTTTTCGGGGCTGCGAAATAAAATCTGAAAACCGCAAGCTTCTACGTGCGTCACTTACCTGCGGTTACGTGTTCCAGGTTCTCACGCCGTCCTCCGGTCTCTTGGATTTCGCCATAAGCATGCGTCCGGATTATCATCGCGCCATCATCGACACCGTGCGATACTACGGCTGGAAGAAAATCATCTACCTCTACGACTCCCACGACGGTAAGTCGGCGACCTCTCGCCTCATGCATTTCTCATTTTACAACGCGGCTCCCCGAGCTCTCGAGCCTTCGGACGGTGCATCCCCTTTCTGTACCCGTCGTCTCCCCGCGCACTGCGCTGGCATTTCCCAAGTTTTTATTACGCCCGCTAAGGATCCACTCTCGGTCCCCGGTGACCACGACGGGATATCGCGATATCGCGGAAAATCGGCCACGTTTGCTGGCGCAGCACGCCTCTGCATATGTAGTAATCGTGGAATGGTAATAGCTCCGGTAAGAGACCGGGAATTTCTCGCTTGCAAACCTACTCCTCGCCCTTCCTTTCTTCTATTATGCGCCGGTTTTTGAACGCGCTTCGGTAAACGGTGTTTCGTATGTTCGAACCGAGTAGCTGCGAGAGTAAACGAAGTCCGAGTGTTTCGGAATTCAGATATAACGAACGGGAATTTGAATTCAAATGGTTCGAATGGCTTTTTGAAGTTCTCGATGCAAGTTCTACGCCGAAAGAGAAAAACTGAATACTTGAACAGCGTTTGGGTTGCATACATATGTATATTGAGACGGAGTGTTTTCAAATTCTTAGATATATGGAAAGTTGGTTTATTGTCGATGAACGCGAGGAGATGAAGGTTTTGTTTCGCCGCAGCTAGAGTAAGAGTTTTCCTACAGAGAAGGCTCGGTATAGTGTACATACAAAGAGTTATACTCAATTTCCAACTAGCAACGAGTTTGAGAATATGCTCTGTGGATTAATCAAAGTTTCCGGTCGAAGTTTGTATTCCGTCAAGAACAGGTCAAACTTTTTCTTTCCATGCGTCAAACACCTTTTTGTCTGATTATAATAGTATGTCCAAGTGTTTTATTTTCAGTTAGAAACTCCGTTTGTGTGTCCATCCGACAGTCACAGAATTCTAATTTTTTATTGAAGGAAGTAATGAATGCTAAATGCCTGCGAGAAATATATTTGCTTAAAATGTTGTAGTATTATCAAAGTTTTATTTTCAGCCTTAATGACATTAAAATTAATGGGGGGGGGAAATTATCAAAGCCTTGTACAACTTGAATCAACTACATTGTACAAAGTCATAAAAAGAAAATTGATTACTTCCTGTATTCCATAATTCAAGCGTCGCCAATTGAATAAATCACGCATGAACGGAACAAAAAAAATGCTTATTAGAATCGTAAAACGAATATTCAAGGTCAATCCATCGTGCAGGAGTGGAACACATTTGCACAGTTAATTGCGGAACCGCGTTAATTTTCATTTCATACCATCGTCGCGGTCCAGTAATCCGTAAACGTAGGATTTTTCATCTCCAATGTAATTCAGTATGCAAACGAAAATATGAACGACATTGAATCCCGACGCGCAACCAGAAGCAGAACGCGGAATTATCTCTGGCATTTCTCACCGTTTATGCGATTTGGTATTTCCACGCACATAAAACGGAGTGCAGGTGCCGAAGCGGCGCAAGAATTCACAGATGACATTGAATCCTAATTGCGAACTTCCATATCTAATGAGAGAATAACTTTTGAATAGAAACGGTCTGAGATTATATTTATCAAGGTTCTCACTTTGGCCATAATTAACTCTACCAGAATAAGTTTCTCCTTTTAGTATTATAATAATTTCTGGTTTAAAACAATTGAAAATGTGACACAGTAATAAAACATTTTTGTACTATTCATACTCGATGTGACATATTCCATGTTTTATACTCGGTATGATGAAGTAATTTCAGGGACACTTCTTGTTCAAATACATATCAGACAATTGAATTTATTTCAATGTCACTTGAAATCCTTCGTACACAAGAAAAGACAGAAATTCATATAAATACCTGCGACGTGAAAATATGTAGTAAGGAGAGCTCAGAACACAATGCAATACTATGCATACGCATTGTGCAGAACGCTGAAACCGCAGTTTTCACGGAATCGTTTCTCGTTATGTTTGCAATTCAATTGTGTTCCAGCGTTTAACGTTCGAAGGTTTGAGGAAATAATTTGGCCGCGAAGGTCGCCGAGCGACGTTTTACCTCTTACTTTCGCCATTTGCGTAAGCCGACGATCATTTAGATCGCGCGTACCGAAAGATTTTACTCTGAGTAGAATTTTCGCAACGATCTCTCTCTAGTGACGCACCCGATCATTTTTGCGACCGTTCTTGACGTCACTATGAAAGTTTCACGATTTCGCCGGTATTCGAATGTGCGTCATCAAACAGGTTAGCAGGTTCATAAATTGAGCCTAAGTGAAGTTAATTGCTTGGTAACCCAACACACTTGTATTTCGCATTCTATTACCTGCTAACTATACTGAAAGTATTGAATGTTGTAATAAAATATTTGATACATATTCTCAAACTATGCGATATCATTGCTTCAGTCTTTAAACAATCACAATATATAACACTGAAGTATATTACTTATCAGGCAATATCAATTATGCAATAAATAGTGTCTGCTTTCTACAATCTCCTTTAAATCTGAGAGACTGAGAGATTCATCTTTGAACATTTACATGGATAGCACTTTGTCAGCACATACATATTATCGTTTTGCATCTACAAATTAATTCTCAGCTTCATACAGCATCAATCATCACCCGTTCCCATATAGAACTTCTTTATGTACTACCTGTATTGTATACTTACATCCATCAATCAAATTGCTCAGTAAAGACATACCTTGAATTATTATTAATTACATACATTAGGCAGAGACATCGCCACATAAATTCCTGCATAAAATGATCACTGCAAAGCAAACTGTTAACCACTTTTTCTAATGATCTCACTAATACATTTAAACTGTAATTATAAATCCGATTTTCATATAAGTATAGCAACAGACGTTCTCTTGCTCGAACATATTCCACGATGCAAGAAACTCTTACGAAGTATCGTTAAAGAAACAGCTGTTTTGACTTGCAGATTATACTACTCGTTCGCAGGAGCTCACGTCAATTCTCACGAATTACCAACACTCGTAATACGCCATTATTCGCCAAAATTTCTCGGCTATAGCCGAGCTCTGTGAAAGGAATCGGTGGCTCTAATCTGATTCGGCGATCGAAACGTTAAGAGATGGGGGGGGGGAGGGGGAGGGCGAGAATTTAATTACTTAATGAAGCTGGCGGAACGGTCGTCCGACCGAAACGATTAATCACCAGCCGCCTCGTGACTGTTTCGTGCCTTGCCAGTTTCCGTTTCATTATAACTCGGTCACGTGCCCCCGTCCGTCCCTGGTGCAAGGCTATTTAGGATTCCGAGCAATTGCTCTTCTTCGATGAACGAACGAACGATAAGAACGGGGGTATCGCAAACTCGACGTAGTTTAATTACCGAATGCAAATGCAAATGTACTTTAGGGGTCGCCCAACGTCTTCGTGGCCAACTATCTCCGTATCGCTGGTTATCTGCATCTTCAACGGTCCTTACAGGTTGCCCTTCCACCCCGTATAAAGTTATGCCATGCAATCTTCGTCGATTAGCGCCAGAATAGTATTAGAATAGCGATAGGAATTTGGGAGAAAATATGCACTTAGGATGAAGAAAAATCAGATCATTTATTCACGCAGAATATAATATAAATATACTATATTCAATTTTACTTGAATAATAATGAACCGATCATAGCTTTAGAACATTTGAATAGCGATGAAAAATTTGCAATTGATTGCACTACTGGTAGTCCCTGAATTTGAAATGTACTGTATTAATTAGAATCATAGATATTTACTTATTCCAATGTGCAATTAACAATCTAAAAAAAAATGTGCCTTTCATATCAGCCAGATACGAATCGCGTATTCATTATAACGATTCAATAAATTACTTCAATAATATACCATTCACACGAGACTTCTGATTATTCAGGGACGCATTCTAGTTCACTAGTTCTATGACATGCACTTCTCCTACAGGTGTACAGTAAACAACAATGACTAAAAAATTATATTGAACTAAATTATCGCCATAATAAAAAATACATATAATCATAGTAATTTATTAATTTGTAACATATTCTTTGTCAATCATACTTAATAGTTGAATTACCAGCGTATAGGTCGTTCACTTCTTTTTAATCATGAGAAAGCAATGGGAGGATAAATCTCGCACTGAACAGAGTTGCATTCCTGTTTGGCCAGTTTAGAATGGAGAACTCTGTTTCTTCTTATTCGCTTCCAGACCTACTGGGAATCCCCCATGCCTTACCTTTCCTCGTTAGCGAGTATTTTATCCCAAGGTCAGGTTGTTTTTGAACTTTCCTACCGGATTTTCAGACATTCTATGTTTAAACTTTAACCTGCAGTTTCGTCGAAAGTAAATTCATTCGCAACTAGTTCAGGTACACGGTGCATGGCTTATTAAGCGAGCGATTATCGCGGTGGAACTGTCAGAAATTCAAGGCCATCGAGTTAGTGACTCCTCGGTCAGACCCGGTCGCCCGTTCTATTCGTTTTATTTGCGTCGAAGGCAGGATTGGAAGCCGTTCGGCAAGGATCAGAAAGAGTAAGAACAGTACATGTGTAGCCGTGTCTTACGCAAAAGTTATCAAACACCGGATAAAATCTTTCAAGACTTGTTGGAATTAATATCCAAGTGAAGTGCAGGGACAAGTATTGTTCAAAAGACAGTATTCGATTCATTTGATGTGATCGTTTTGAAAAACCATCAAGATTGGGTTGCTTTATCTACGGAAAATCACATTTTGGGTATATACATAAACGTATTCGTACATGATTATTTCATATTATATGGTATATGGTCTTTTCATTTTATTTACTCGGTTTTATTCAACGATGAAAAGTTTTTGGATGCCAGTTTCATATTTATCAATGCAACTGTTTGATGCGCGTAGGCGTTTAATTAGTGCCCGGTTCCATGATTATCTGTGTACAGGTTCACAAACGGATTTTGCGTAAATATTTTTCTTAATCAACTCCTGTACTGGTATTAAATAACGACCAATCGAATGGTAGGAGGTAGTTCGAGCATAATGGGAAAAAATATTAATCCAGTTTAAATAAAAACGAGGTCATCGACTGTTGTTTGAATCTCTCCCGTGCATTGTTGAGAAATGTGCATAAATAAAAGTGCAACGGAAACGAAAAGAAATTGATTAACACAGCTCGTGCACTCTCTTGTATTACTCGATTACATTTTCCGTTTTACGAAATTGTGCGAAAGGCATTTAATTATTTGTCGATGAATCGAATCCGGCGGTGTTTATACAAACCTTATGCAACGTTTATTTTATGCCTTGTTGTAAATGAAAATATTGAAGCTCAATGTGTACAGTCGTTTGGGTGCATTTTACCGGATTATTGTCCTTTTTTCTTCTGTTTCATTGCTAAACAAATTGAAAAGAATGAGCCCTTTTTCCCTTTTTTTTTTTATTACCCTTGGGGTAACTGTTTAAAGAAACTCCGATTCAATAGCTCGGGGCTTCTCATTACCCTGAATGCAACATCGATGTCGTGTATTTTCATCCAGAATTTAATAGGTATTTAATAAAGAGGAAATTTTATACTATGAGTTATAAAATATAAATGACGTTAATCATTTATTTTATATAGAGATTATCAAATTTTACAAAGTTTATTCAAAGTGACTTTAGTTTACAAAAATGCGTCGATAAAATATTTGCAAATTGATTTGAAATATTTCGTTTATTTAAGCCTCATATCTCAGATCATT